CAAATTTTGAGGAATGTATTTGGAAAAGTATTTGGAGGAGATCAAATACATTTGGATGTATTTGTATCTTGTACTAAAATGCTTATTTTGGAAATGTAATTAGATTTGTAATTAAATACATTTTTGACGAAGTATTTTGTATTTGTATTTCGATACATGTTCGCATGTATTTTGCCCATCCTTGGCCACGACCAGAGGCCGGCTCACACAGTAGCGACCAGATGCGATACGTGTGACTGTGATTTCATGAGAGCAGATCAGACGCCAAGTATTTTTAGGGGTGTTCTTTTTTATACATATACAGGCTCTGCGTTCACTGCACGCGCACGCGCAGTAAGCGCAGCCACTCGTGTATGTATAAAACTCGTGTGTGTATAACAATTCTAAATGCATTGGGCGTCTCATGAGCTCGCATGAAGTCAGTCACACGTATCGCAGCTGGTAGCTACTACGCAAACCATCCTTGACACTTCATCGAGATGGTGGTACTTCGAGCTTTTTGCAGCTCACAGAAGGGCGATGTGCAGTAAGCCCAGGACGGCGTCCGTGCCAACCGCGCTCCAGTGGACCAAGTCCTGCCGTCCTCTGCCAGCATACCGCCTGATAGAAATGGTTGTTATAATTTGATCAAACTGTGCAAGCCTCTTATGATTCCATGATTTCAGTAGAGCTAGAACAACTTACCTAGCATACATGTCAAATCGCACTTTCGTCCGCCGTACCACGAAAAGTCGATGGATCTCCACTGGCATGGTGACATCTAGAACGATCGGTACAGTAACGAAATTAGTGGCAAATTGTCGAACCGGCGAAGTTCCGCACTTATACTGCGTCCGCAGTGAGCGATCCAGTGGTTCACCCTGTTGACTGTTTGCCAGCTTCTTCCGCGTCGGTGATGCAGCGCAATGGGAGGCAGCGTCAGTATCACCACCTTCTCCGCATGAAGTGTAAGCCATCTGAGTATGATGGCCAGGTCGGAGATCAGGCTGCACGCGTCACATTCGCCCCGCAAATCGTTGGTCCCGATCATCAGGATTACGCGCGGGGCGATAGCAGGGTTGGGCAGAAATACTCAAAAATGTATTTGGAAATACAAATACTGGGATACATGAAAATAGTAGCTAAAATACTGATACTGAAATATATCTGTCAAAATGTATCGCGATACGTCTCGGAAATACTTTTTTAAAAAGAGGCAAAAAGTCTTTGGAAATACAAATAGAGAAATACATTTAGGGAGGGCAGAAATACAAATACAGAAATACTGATACTGCAATACATTTTTTTTCACCTTTGTTTGAGAGCCCAACTCGTTTCATACGCAACAAATTCGTCGGGAAGTGCAATGAAAATCATTTCTTGCTTCGTCTTTTATTTGACATTCAAGCGATACAAAATAAAAACATGCGACATTAAGGCGATACAAATGGAAAACATGGAAGTCCTAAATTCAGTTACACTTGAGGAGTAGGAGCTTCTCAAATAGCCCATCTGTGAGGCGTTGCCGATTCGGGCGCAGCGTCATATTGGCTAAAGAGAATAGGCGCTCAACTGCCGCCGAGGAACACAGGTTCGTATTGAACCGAAGAAACACCGCTTTCACGGCGGGGAAGTCGTGAAGCATGCACATCTCATGCCTTTGGTCCTCTAGGTATCTGTAGACTTCGGCCCGGAGATGGTGCTGTGGGGTCCTCGGTGGCGGGGTCTGCACATCGAACTCAAAGAATGGGTCTTCGAGTGCCGGGAAAGACTCTTCCTCAGGCAAGGGCTCCGGTACGAAACCACAGGTTTCAGCCGCACGCACCAGGAGGTCCTCCAAGTTCGAAGCACTGCCATCTTCCTTCGATGTCCACCTCAACTTGAAGAACGGGTGCGAGCAGGTAGCGATGAGGGCCCCTTCGTTCTCCATCCTTAAAGGGCCTATGAAACGAATTTTGAGTTGGGATAAATCATTTTAGATTGGGATTTTACTAACAGCGCGTCGTTTAGTGGGCCAAAAGAAAAAAAGTAGCAAATCACAAGCCTGACTTTCAGCGCGAAAATTTGAAAACAAAGCGGACTATTTCGTACCTCCTCCCCTTCGCAAGCTCTCTGCCTTTTCACTGTGATACATCCGCGGTCCCAAAAGCGCGTCATCGGATCCAAACGCACGTCACACAAAACCGGACCTCACTTAGTCCCTTCATCCCTAAACTGACATTGTGGTGGAAGCTACGCGCTTGCCCGACAAATCAGCCGCCTCCCTTTCATCACCTGACCTCATTATCTGCACGTGGGTATGCGCAAAGGCAAGTGTGGCTGGCCCAACGAGCACGTAGTTTCCACAGCACTGTCAGCTTCGGGGTGAACGGGTTGGGGAAAGCAACTTTTGTCTGAATTTTGAGCGACGGGCTAATCTTCTAGGGGGACAATGGCTGTGTCCGGATTACACAAACCAGACTCCGAGCAAGAGGGCCTCCCCTCTTTTCGTCTTCTTGAACTGTTTGGTGGCATACAAGATTTATGAGTTGAGGAGGAAAGCTAAACAGGAAAAAGTTGGAAAAGCGTTTCATGACCCCTTTAAGAAGGTTCCGAACCGCTTATGTAGGCCTTCACGAACGCTGTCCAAGATTACTGCGCTGGTCCGGGTTTTAGGTTGGATCGCGTTGAGCTTCTTTTGGACAGTGGTCAGTGTCGGGAGGAGCTCGCCATAGTAGCCGTTGGCGCTTTTTTGTAGAATATTGATTGCTAAAAAGATAACATGGCATGGCAGATTATTTTTATAATTCAACTCAAAACACGTATGTCTAATGGTCTCATCAAAGCCTATGTCGTTTACGGGATATGGTCCATTCGTCACATGCGCACTCGTCACAGGACGATTCGTCACAGGACGATTCGTCACACAGGAAAATTCGTCATAGGACGAATCGTCACGCGGCCAACCGGTACGACAATAGTTCGTCCCTCCAAAAATGTATTGTTAAATTTGGTTCGAGCGGACAAAGTGGCTCACCTCATATCTTAGTATGTCTTTGGCTTCTGAAAGGCGACGAATTTGTAACAAACGTTTTAGCTTCTGGTTTGGTCCCGAACGTTGAATGTTGGTTCGGCCTGGCATAGTGGGTCACCTTTCACTTCTCAAGGTCGAAGAATTTGTAACAGACATTCTAGCTTCTGAGTCCGTCCCGAATGGTGAATGGGGAGGCCATATAAAAGCGACTATTTTGGAACTCAGACTACATTCAAAAGGATGGAGGTCATCGCAACGGAGAGAGGTGGAGCCATGCAGCTGCACGAGGGGTACTCGTACACATGCAGCAGAAAGAATTCCGATACGTATTTGTTTTCTCGAAGAGGTGTATGCAAGGCAAAGTAAAAACTGATTTGGCTGCCAGTCGGATTATTGCTCGTTCAAGCCAGCAACTTAGGACAACCTGCTGAAGAGTCGTAATATGATGAAAGGAAAAGCGGATGAGTATTGTAAGATTAGTTTTTCTAACCATTGGTCTATGTCACAGTGGGAAGTCGTGAAACTCCTCATCAGGGAATCTGGGTAGTTGTTGAAATTTACAATTTACTATCGTCCCCTGCCCGATCGATGTGACCAGTTGCCCGCATGACGAGTCATCCTGGGACGAACGTTCCTATGTGACGAATCGTCCTGTGACGAATCGTCCTGTGACGAGTGCGCATGTGACGAATCGTCCTCATCCCGTCGTCTACAATGGTTATCCCGTTCTGACTCCCATTACACGCATCTAACACAAATGGAAGGGAAAGAGGAGGACCTTTCTTACCTGTGGCAATTGGATATAGGATGTCGCGATACTCTTCCAAGAATTCCAGCTCAGCATCTCTGAAGGTCGTCAAGTCGAGCTTCTCGGAGAGTGTCCTCAGCTGGGCTTTGTTGTCTAGAAGTGCGACCAGGGCGTGGTAAAGGGAGCTCCACCTGGTCACGCATGGTGTAGGTATACCTGCCTCCCAAGAACCGAAGCCACTGTTTCCGCGGATTTGGGGCGATGGGAGGAGCTGCAGTACTCTGAGCACTTCGACATTGCGCTGTCATGGAGACGGTTGAAAGCTGGAGATTTGTTTAGTGCTTTTTTAACATCACATGTCACGATGACGCTGAGAGTGTGGCAAGCACACCTCAGATGATGCGGGAGCGACGGCGTGGTGACGTCATGAGAGAAAGAGAAGTCATCCATTGCATCTGCGTAATAGGACAGGAAGGCGTAAGCGACATTTGATGTAACTCAACGACTAGTTTATACGTGTAGTGCCTGAGGGAGTTGAATGACAACTGTATTATTTAAATATTAAACAATAAAAAGTTAAATTGAAAAATGTGAAATTGATGCCACATGCTAATGGGGACTCACCTTCACTCTGGCTATCAATGCCGAATTCTTTAAATGCCTTCACAAAGTTACTTCCATTGTCAGTTACGGTGCCGACAACCTTCTGTGTGTCCAAGTCAAACTCCGTGTAAACATCCGCAAGCATGTCGGCGACGCGGTCATGTGAATGGGTTCCTTCGAACCGCTTGCAGGCTAATGCAGCTGACACTCGGTTAAGCGTGTCAGGTGCGATCTGAAAATACGCAAATAAATTTACTTTTAAACTCACAAATACAAGTAGACTTGTGAAATGAACGGTTACGAAGGAATGTCGCAAAATAAACCTTTCAGACAAGGAGGGCTTTGAAAATATATCTGAAAGGCATTCGGACGAAAGTAAATTGTATAGTTTAAGTTTTCTTGAATTACAAGGCCGACTGAACAGCTGCGTAAAGGTTTTTTATGAGACCAGCGATCATGCGGTGCATTTAGAATGATATAAAAGAAATGACGAACATGAGATCACGCACGCTATGAACACGTTGACATATATTGTATAATAGAATGGTAAAGGCACCTCACCCAGTGAGCTGTAGTGCCCATAAGACTCCTTGTTCTGGTTGACCAGACGTCTGCGGTGGTGCACACATAGGCTATACAGACTGTAGGGCGGACCGAATGCTGGTAAGCTTCCTCTCGAAATCCTCATCAATTTTCCGAGCAAGAGTCCTTCGTGACATCACCGTGGCTGTTGGGCACATTCCTAAGACGGCAGAACATAAGGCATCTATACACTAACTACAAAGGAAATATTCGCAACGTCGCAGTCACAGAAAGTCAAGAGAATATTACCTTTCACCAAGTCCTGGAACGGTTCGTCGTCAATAAAATGAAGAGGTAGCATCGCCTTAACTACCAGGTTTTGAAGAAGCTGATCAAACTTCCTCTGGTCTACTTGTCCGGGAATGCTCATGAAATTGTCGATCTTTCTTTGACTGACATGTGCTTGAGACCGCTCCCCTCCGTCCTTTGGTTTGCGTCCGCTGGTGGTTTTCTCAGGCCTCTGTAGATACTTCTCATACTCCGCTGCACTCGCTGAATGTAGACACTGGTGTGTATAAAAATTGGCTTGGTCACTATAGCTCTAGGGCAAAAACAAATGTAAGACATATTTTATGAACTACAAAGTAAATGCTCACCCTGAGGTGAAGCTTGAAGTTTGAGGTGTAAGTTTTTAAGCCCGAAATTACTTTCAGGCAGGTTTGGCACTTTGCCTTGAAGGTAGTGGTTTCGGAAAAAGAGGAGTCTTCAATGGGCTCAAAGGACTTTCCATCAAGGATTGACCGCGGTCCCTTCCCTGACATCCTTTCTGTCTGACGACTGATGCGAAGATACTTCGACCTCTAAATAAATTTCATGTCACTCTAAATCCCATCAAAACGTCACCGCGGTCCTTTCCAATGAGGGCGCCCCTTTCAACAATGATCACATATTGGGGAGGAGGACATACCGTGACGCCCCAAGCGGTTAACTTCACAACTACACGAATGGGGACAACAAATACAATGATTCAGCGCTCGGCCGACATAACCGAACGCGGCATCAGCGTTCGGCTGGAGTTCGTGTTCTCCGGTGAGGGGGAAGAGGGGCTCTTTTGTTTCTACTCCGGCCTGCATGAACAATGCAGCCTGAACGGTCCCAGCTCCGCACAAAAGCCGAAGTGGGTCAAGCTCGCATTCTTTAAAATAGATCCGGCACTTAACGTCGCTTCGTCGATTGTTAGTCTTCTTTACATTAACCTGTGCACCGAGCTCTATTGTAGAAGATGAAATGGACATGCCCATAAGGCCTGTGAGCATGTGCGCAGGCCTTGTGTTGAGTAAACACCGAGGGTGGGGACAACAAAAGGGTCAGAGCGCCCCCTATAGTTCGATCTCCTGCAACCACCCGTCCTGAATGCCTTCTTCTGCAAAGGCGTTCGATGAAACGACTTCGATGAAACGGCGTTCGATGAAACGGTGTTCGACGAAATGTCCGGACCCACTTTCAACAGCCTCGATATCACTACTTAAGGGAGCCTTCAAAACGCCGAAACAAGGAATCAACAGCTAAACTAACCCGCTCTTCAAACTTCTCTGGGAGGACCCCAAACTTTCTAGACTTGCCAGTTTGTAACAACACTACCCCGCCTCGGTCCAGCTCTTCCTTTAAGCGCGAAACACATGTACGACGAAACCGTCCGATCCGACGTCCGACCGCGCAATACGATGGTCGGAGGCGAGGGTTTTCAACGCTCTCCGATGCTACGAAAACCCTCACCCCCCAAGGTCATTCCGGCAGTACGCACGTCGTATCGGAAGGTTTCGTCATACATGTGTTTCGGGCCTTGCGCGAAACACATGTACACACGTTACCCTGCGCAGAGTTGCACGCAATCCGTTTATTTTTCACGATTCCCCCCCCCCCCCCCTCCCCGGTTTTATAAAGAGGGTTGTTTTTATTTTGGCTCATTGACCAGCACAAAAGGAAGCTTGGCACTCTTCAGTTCCTCAAAGCCTTTCTTTACAACACCAAGCCCCTGAATCTTTTTTTTAGACCCTAACAACAATGTCAAAAGACCCAAATATGTATTTCTACAAAAAAAAAAGGAAGAAAGAAAGAGGGGGGGGGGGGGCAAGCTATATCCGCCTTTTTTTAGACCCTTTGTTTTTTTTTTTCTTTGGAATCGAAAACGGGGAGAGCACACTCTCAAAAAAGGGGCTGTCGTAGGGTACTACACTTGGGGTAGTCAGAAGCCGTCACAGATATCGCTACCCCCCCCCCCCCCCCCCCCTTCGTTATACTAACAACCCCATGGGCAGTCACACGGCACGCAATCAGCAGGTAATCACAGTGAGCACCCCCAAAAGCAACATGGCGGCTGGCAAGCGACAGTGGAGCAATACGAGTAAGGCCTAGCGAGCTGGACTGCTTTTTGCTAAAATACGATTCTCAAGTGCGTACGCCCGTTCGCTGCCTTCCGTGCGCACAAAGCACTCCGAAACGCGCCTCGAAGCACCGGCACCGCACCTATAGACCGTTTTATCGTGGGTAGCGCCATTTTGAGAGCGAGAGAGAAAAGGGGAAAGGGCTACCGGCGCTTTCCTCCTTTCTGATTGTGTAGAAAGAGTGGAAGTCCCGGATGAGAGGCTTGGCCGGTGTTGGGCGTCTGCTGTGCACCAACTTCGTTCGCGCTTTCTTCTACGTTTCAAACTACCATACTTAATTAGAGCCATGGTCTTTGATGGCGACAGTCCCCCGGTCATCGGGACACCATTGCTGGGTGATGGGGTGCACGAATAACGACAAAAAGCGTCGAATACTGTCCGAGGACCTATGTAGCTTGCATGGAATCCGGCAAGGCAAGTACGGCTGGAATGTTTTTAAGCTCCATTGCTTTCCGCATGACTGGAAATGATGAACCATTTATACATTTTTGCTTCCAATGGGCCTATTTCAACGTAGCCGCTTTTAGTTGTAATCAACAAGCGATACACGAAACGGAAACCTCAATTAACTTTGTAAACGCCGGGAGCTGCTACATATCGTCTTGCTGTGCTGTTTTTATCTTCGTGTCCCTGTTCTTATATTTCCTTGTGAATGAACGACGAGGACGCTCTAGATGTAGTTTTATCGAACCGCAGAAAGCCTCGAAGCAGCCACGAATTATTTTACTATTTGATGCAATATTTTGAGTACTCACCTCCAATTTCTATAGCTGGCACGTTCGCTGCCACCGTTCCCCCCGTCGCCACACTGGCGGATGCCATGACTCAAACAAAGAAACGTGCACACTGGGCTCGAAAACGCAGATCGCAACACACGAGACGTTCCCTGCAGCGACTATGAAGCGCCTCAAAGCGCCTTAGTCAACGGAAACAACCCACCAGCGGCACTCCAAGGAGCGCTTTTGCCGGCTCTCTGGTATCGCGCAGGAGATCGCGATTAAAAAAACAAACAAACAAAAACCAATAGAACTACGTTTTCAACAATTTCCAGCCTCACCCGGCGGCGGAAATAAGCCTTCAACTAAGTGTTGTAGATGATAAAATCGATTCAGTCACCACTGCAAATTATCACAGTAAAGAATGTGTCCCTCCCTGAGGGTCACCAGGTTGTTTTGTCCCGGTCCTTCCTAGAAGTCGTAGGTCAGGGCCGGGCGATCGTGGGCAGCCGCGAAGGATGGTCGCTTCTTGCTCGTTGGTGGTGGCGGAGCCTTGAAGAACGACGCTCAAAGTCGAGAGCAACGATTGATAAAAATAAATGTATTAAAACGTCAACAGCAAACTTGGTTACAGAACTCTACTGTCCGCTGACGGCAGTAGAAATACAAGAAAAAAACCGCGCCTCGGCGCAAAGTGCCCACCGCGCACGGTGAGGCTCAAAGAAACTGCTCGTCGCTCGCGACAAAGCTACACGGACCGGCGGACCGCGGGAGATAATTTGCTCCGCGCACGGGCTTGTTCAAACTCAACGTTTCGTCGCCAGTGCGGACGAGAAAACTCCCCGGTGACACAGGGCCTGTCCAATCAGGACGATTATACAATTCTATTGGCCCCAGTGCCAGCGGGTCCTCCACCAATCACAGAAAGGCCACCGAACTCGTTATTTCCCTTTTCTAAGAAGAGAAACAATGCCAAACCCCTAGGGGAACTGTCCAATCGGGGCGATACTTTACCGCTTTACGGGGAAAATACCCCCCACTTCGCTGCGTCAAAACAAATTGGCGCCGTGACCTTCGAACTTAGCGAGTAAAGCGTAATAGAGTCCAAGTGGACCCAGACCGGCGCCCCTCGTCGCTAAAACCTTATTGCAGCAGTCCCCCGACTGCACAAGCCGTCACTGGAAATGCGCCATGACGACAAAATCGCCACTACCTCGCGGCGACAGACAAGAATGTCTGTCTCCTTCCCGAGCCAAAGATTAAAAAGGGCTCAAGCCACTCATCCCCCTACCCTCGGGGCGAGCCGTCGGGGTGCCCCCATCCGAACGGTTGAAGGTCGATTCACTCAGTTTCCAGGAAACGACAAAATTCTCAAGCGATCCCTACAATCACTATTAAGATAAATTCAGTTACGAAATTTTACATGCTGAAACAGCAGTTATCATGAGAAAACTCGCACGCACATTGCGAGCGTACCCCATGTTCATCGGCGGTACAGCGTTCGGTGCGCGCTCCATTCACGAAATGTTCCGAGCGAAGTCGAAAGGATGGCGTTGAGGAAACGCCTTTTCGGTTTACGGACGCAATCCACTGCCCCCGGAGACAGGGGTCATGTGGAAAGCGATGGAGTTCAAAGACATTGCAGCCGCTCTCGCCTTGCTGGATTCCTTGCAAGCTACGTATGTCCTCGGACACTATTCTATGCTTTCTGTTTTTATTCGTGCACCCTATGACCCAGCAATGGTGTCCCGATGACCGGGCGACTGTTGCCATCGAAGCCTGGGGCTTTAATTAAGTTTGCGAGTTTAAAACAGAAAAAAAAAACCGCGAACGAAGATCGCGCACAGCAGACACCCAACACCGGCGAAGCCTCCTCATCCGGGACTTTCACTCTTTCTACACAATCAGAAAGGGGGAAAGCGTTGGTAGCCCTTTCCCCTTTTCTCTCTCGCCCTCTTTCAGTAAAACGGTCTGTGATGTGTACAAAACGGCCAGTGATGTGTACAAGTTTGATCCTGCGCACATCCCCAAAGCAGCGTTGTTCAAGTTTAAAGGAACTACCACTGATCTCGTCACGCACTTCACTGACTGATTAAAAAACGCTGAGCGCTGTTCACTAGGCGAAATTTTGTACGCAACTTCATGATTATTGGCTACAATATCCAACCTAGATTTAATATTGGCTGGCTACCATATCCAACCTAGATGTATATTGGCTACAATATCCAACCGTGGAGCCCTTAGAAGTAAAAGAAATTGAAAAAAAGGCGTTCAGACTATATTTGTTCTTCGGGGGGAAGGGGGGGGGGGGGGGAGGGGGGGGGAGGGGAGTATTTTAAAAAACGTTTAACGAATCACATTCATCCTGATTGTATCGCGATACAGAAGAAGCCTTCTAAATGTATTTTGATACAGAAATACAGATACGAAATGTATTTCTAAAATACTACCGCGATACATTTGTATCGCAATACTGCCCAATCCTGGGCGATAGGCACCTCCATCACCACATCAAGCAGCTGGCTTGCTGTGGCCCCGCTCACCAACGTAAAGCTCACTGCGACAGAAAGGGACGTTCAAAACAAAGATATGTCATAATATGGAAGAAAAAAAAAAAAAAAAAAACAGATACACACACAGAGGAGGACGGCGTACATGCGTTAGGCAATCCTACGAATTATGAATCCCGGAGAAAAGGTCACCGGAGTAAAGCTCACCGGAAACCCGGCGGATGCGGAGAAAGGCTCGCCAGAATTTTGATAGGTGCGGAGAAAAGCTCATCCATGATTCTGCGAACCGATCTAACAATTTTTCTTCACAGCCTGTCGCTCCGTGGCAGTACGTTCAGAATTGGGTGCACACACTTCATTGACGCCGTTTATTCAAGGCCATTTCATCGAACGTCCTATCATCAAAGCCGTTTCATATAACGTCCTTTATCGAACGGTATGGTTTCTGGCCGGATTGTTTCTCGCCTTTGTAAATAGTTTTTTTTTTCTTTTTGCATAAAAACTTACAATATTCTGCTCCGTTTTTTTTAATCTTTTTGCTTTGTTTTGTGATAACCAATGACCTCTTTCGGTGATGTAGACCAAAACGGACTTGTCACTTTTTGGAGGGCTGTCTCCATGTGGAAGTAAGCAGCTTAGAAAAGAAGACGCGTCGACAACTTTGTTTGTTGTTCTCATGCATTCTGCAAAACAGTAGACTCTTCTGCTTCTTCATTTTTTTCTTAGAAAGTAAGCCAGTCTTGTGATGAAAACACTGTGAGTGTGCAGGCGAACTGGTAGTAGGTAATCATGGCGTTTTTTAAACCTAAAACTGTAGTGCAGAAAATGAAAAAAAAAAAAAAATTCGTCTAAGGAACGGATACAGAAGGGAACGTCTGGGGTTGAACGACAACACTTGATTTTAAAAATACTTATACAAAAATGAAAAAAAAAAAAAAAACGCAGAATGAGCGGAAAGCAAAGTGCGACATATAAACCGAAACAGAAATCAAAGCCCAGAGTAGGCCGCGAATATTGAATTTCAAGTATTGATTGTTAGAATTCGTAGGTGACCTTTTCCCCGCACTCGTCAAAAGGCAGATGAGCTTTTCTCCGCATCCATCGGTTTTGACGTGAGCTTTTCTCCGCCGCCCACGAATTATACCTACCAATTTGTTGTCGCCTTAGTCCGGAGCAGTGTTCCGCTAAACACAACAACATCGAGTCGCCGATCAGTTGGTAGCCATTTAGCGACGCTAGGCCGTTGGAGAAGATCATGTCTGCGACAGATACAAAGTTTGTAACACTGTGCAGGAATTAAAAAAATTCTAAACTCTTACGAAAAATAAATCTTGCTACTCACCTCTGAATTCACGCTCGAGGAAGAAATGGAGAAATTTCTAACTAGAAACTAAATGCATCCATCGTATTCTTTTTATATAGGTGAAGGGAAGGGAAAAGGGCGAGAAGGTGAAAAGTCGAGAACAAAGAAACACCTCCCAAGCTTTCAGTGCTTCTAAACACACAGACGGCAGCCTTAGAGGCTGTTAGGAAATAGACCAGACTACACAAGACAGGAACCCAATACGTCCATCTATCCTTTTTGTGTGCATGTTTTTCCTTCTAATAGAAATATTATACTTTCTACGAAAAAGGTCGAGAGATTGCGCGCAGTACTGTGAAAGCCACTTGTGAGAGGGGGAGGAAAGTCGCTTTTGTAGAAATGTTGAGTGACGGGCTAATCTTCGAGGGGCACACTAGCGACCAGTCTGTCTATTCTGGTGGCGCAAACTTCATTGTAAAGAAAACTTCATCAGTCGCCCATTGGCTGCTGCTCCTGAGGACGAGCTGTGACGTCGCAGTAAAGTTCTGGCGATAAAGTTTGTTGCATGCTCGTCAAAATTGTAAAGTTCGCCGTGACGTCAGAATGTCGTCACGATGAAGTTGTTTCTGTAAAGAAAACTTCGAGGGCTTGGGAGCTCAAAGTTGAGAAAGTTCATCGGTAAAGATGGCGGAACTCTGTTGTGCGCTGTTGGTCTCCCAGTGCGCCGACAGAGTGTTTCGGGAGCACCGCGACGCCTTTCTGCTGTCGGACGACAGGTTTGTCGCGAATTATCGACTAACGAAGGGAGGGACGAGGAGGCTGTGCGAGCAGCTCCGCCCCGATTTACAACCGGACCGCACGACCGTTCGCGTCATCACCGTCGAGCAGCAGGTGTTGTGCGCCCTGCGTTTCTACGCAGCCGGCGGTTTTTAAGGAACGGTGGCTAGCGACGAGCACTTGGCGGTGCACCGAAGTACCGTGTCTCGTGCGCTCCACGCCGTCACGACCGCGATCGTCCAGCGCCTGGCGGATCGCTGGATTCGTTTTCCGGCAACGGAGGAAGAGAAAACGAGAGCCAAGGAGGGCTACTGCATGGCGAGTCGGCAAAATCAGCGGCGTTGTCGGTACGTAATGAGCGATTTTGTTCATCCAACGTGTCCGGGAGCTTTTGGGAAAAGATACGCGTGCATTCCCGAGCGATCGTCGAAGAATGACGGCTCGCGGGGTGGTCGCGACGTGCTCGGGACAGGAGTGCTTTTTGCGCCACTCCCGTCGCGCCATTGAACTCTCTTTTTGTGAACAGTAGATTTGCCTATAGCTGTATCTAATAACCCTATCACGTCACAGGATGCGTGGACGGCACCCAAATCGCCATCAAGGGCCCGTCCGAGAACGATCCACGCTTCACGAAGGCAGCCTACTGGTGTAAGAAGAACTACTATGCCCTGAATGCGATGATCGTGAGTACCGAGTTTCTCTACTGTGCGCGTGACCCGGCATCGAGAGGCGTAGGTGTCGAGTACAATTAACCCGTCTGGCTGTGTCGTCAGTTTGTGACAGAAGTAACTATCTTGTCCCTGTCGATCGCCCAAAAGTATCTTTTTGGGGCAATGATATTCACAGTTATGAGCCTACTTTCCCAGGTTTGTGATGCTGACCTCAGGATCCTGAACGTGGATGCCACATTTCCCGGCTCGGTTCACGACTCCTTCGTGTGGAGGATGTCATTCCTGAGGGAGGCCTTCCTGCAAGGCCACTTCCCACGAGAGGACGAGGGCCTGCTTGGTGAGGCTGTGTAAACAAGTGCTCAGTGTGTTTTGTGTACCCCAACTAACATACACTGCCCAGGCAAAAAACATTAGGAAAACCTACCGATTTCCGTGTACCTTTGGCACGCAAAACAGTTGCAGAGGTCGGCTGCTGCGGATTCCCATATTCGACAGAATCCAATAAACTGTATGCTCAGAAACACTTGTACTTTAAACTGCATTGTATCTAGGCGTCAGTTGAGCCATGGTTAAATAACTATTTTGCTTCACCAAGTGGAAAACCATCCAACATCCTCATTTTGTGATGAAGCCAGGGCGTAACGATGGCAGCTTGTTAATACCCAACGAGCTTTGAAGTTTCCGAGACACTTGTTCCGAGCCGTCAAGTCATTACAATCTGCCTTTCGTCAAAGTCGCTTAAATCACCAGCCATTTCCAATCCATGCACATGTAGTCGTTAAAATGATCCTTTTGTATCCTTGGCAGCCGTTAACTATTATCTGCAGCAGCAGGTGGTAGATAGCATGGATGGCGAGTCAGCTAGCCGCACTCATTCCCAAAGGGTAGGTGTGGTCGTAATGCTTTCGCTAATCAGTGTGTGCTGTTAGTAACAATACTTCAATTGTAGTGCACTGTGCTGCACCTTTGAGTTAAGGCATTGCCAGAGAATATTAAATATCAAATGAAGGATCTCCACATAACAGCTGCATAATACAGATACGTCACAATGTCAGTGTCATGTGGCAAAGACCTAAAAATTTTCAGGTTTGCTCTTGGTCACTTTAAGTTGCCATGCCGTGTTCATTTCACATCGACTTCTTGAAAGGGAAGAAAACTAGCTGTCTTAACTGAACAGGGCCATCTCCTTTGTCTTGTCAAAACCAAAAAAATATTCCGGCTGCTGCCAAACTGAGGTCTGGCCGAATGTCAACCAGTAATGCGATTAACATAGAAGCCATTTGATGGCCAGTACCGCTCGACCCACATTACATCGATGTCATAACTCCTGTTAAAAAAAAATAGTTGCCTCTGTTACCTTAAAAGACTAATCTCACAAAAGCGTTCCACGCACGCGTGACGCCTACATGACTGTAGTTTACAGGGGACAGGCACCAGTGCACAAGATCGCTAGTGCAGTCCTCTGCTTGGCTTGCACAGAGCTCCAGAGGTGTTGTCACGCATGCATAAAGACTGCAGTTCCCTTATTTACGCTGGCAGCGGTGGCCTAACGAAACTAATTAGTGAGATTGATTTATTGTGCAAGATATATACCAGTACACTGTTTGCAAACGAGCTAATGTTTGCCCATATCAGCTGCGGGCACTGCACAAACACACACCCGCATCGTATTTCGAAAAGTGAAGTGTCTATGCACGCGCCACCCTGACTGCAGCAGCGCGATGTCAGAGCTGGCATTAGTGTATACCTAGAATCACCATGACAGTTACTCTTTTGTTTAGGATGGTGTTTGCTAGCAGGTGCTGAGAAGTATAGCATACTGGGTGCAGTGGTGTGGGCAGGGGCTTAAAGGGCTGAAGTGTCCCCCCTGACCCGGAAATGCAGCCGACCCTATAATGTACGTATGCATGATGCATTTCCCATCACTCCAGAACTCAAAGTTCCCAATACAATACACCCCCCCCCCCCCTTTCTCCAAATAAGAACACATTCTACACCACTGACACGGAGATGCAGACACCTTTGTTGCATGACAGATCGGTTCCCTTCTTTGCCCGACGTTCAGAATAGAGGATCAGTGTGTGTGGTGAACACATAAGACAGAACGAAGGTAGCAGCAAATCAGCAACAAATTGGCGTGCAACCTAAACCAGAAGCTGAAATAACAGCAAACCATTGCAGCTTGCTGGTATGCTCTCTTTGCAAAACCATTATCATACTCAATGCAGGAGACAGTGGGTATCCCCTTGAGCCGTGGCTCCTCAACCCTGTGCCAGGCAACCCTGCAGTGGGATCTGATGAGGCCCACTTCAACCAGGCTCATCGATCCGCGAGATCCGTGGTTGAGCGGTGCATCGGTATGTTGAAGAACCGGTTTCGGTGCCTGCAGAGGTACAGAACCTTACACTACGACTCCATCCGGTCGTGCAACATCGTCACGGCGTGCTCCATCCTGCACAATGTGTGCTTATACATAAATGCACCTGAACCAACACCCGAGCCAGAGCCAGTCGCTGTCGTCGAGCCGCAGTCAAGCGATTCGAGCGATAGCGACTCTGACGACCCCTTGACCGGGAGTCTCCATGACCGGGGCATGGTGGTTCGCCAGAGGAAGGTACGGCAGGTGGCAAGTTATGCAACTCGCAGGGGCTCATCTACATTGCCTCGAGCTCCTCACCCAGCCCACACACCACAAGCCCCAAAAGCGCCTCGCCGACAGCGGGCCCCTCGTTCACAGCGGGCCCCTCGTTCACAGCGGGCCCCTCGTTCACAGCGAGCCCCTCGTGCACAGCAGGGAGTGCAGACCGTGCAGACATTGCACCCAATTTAAGAGCTGCATCGCAATGCCCGTGTGTTGAGTTTGTGCACTTTGTTTTTCCAAACACGGGTTTCAAATCTTCTGTGTAGGCTCTGGGTGGACTGTACACACTACAAACATACAATTTTCGTTCTTCTTTGCTTGTGTGCATTGGCTGCGGGACATTAATTGTTAGGGCACTAAGCTGCTCCTCATTGTGCTGGGCGACTTATTGAGTCACGAGGGCTTTGATAACCAGGGTGGCAACGCTCACTGGCGTTCCGTGTTGTTGTGGGCTCGCAAGTGTTATACCCTGTCAACCTCTGTATGCCCATGTTCTCCTGCAAGTGCGTTACATCTGGTTGTGACAGTTGTAACAAGGGAGCTGCAGGTGGCTGCGGCGGTAGCCGCACGTGAAGGGACTAGCTGGTGCAGAACCAGAAGAAGAGAAGGACGACGGGGCTACGAGGGGCTTGGCAAGTGCTGCTGTTCCGGCGAGCTATAAACCATATCTTGTTATCTTAACAACTGGCGACGAGGTTAAGACTACGACCCATGTTACTATAACAAGTATGTGAAATCTACCGCGAACATCATGCCAAAGTTAGAGCCATTCACGGGGGAAGGTGGTCAGGAATGGGAAGAGTATGTCGAGATTGTGGATCAGTTCTTTATCGCGAACAACGTCGTCGCAGACAAGCAACGAGCCGTGTTTCTGAGCAGCTGTGGCAGGCCAACGTACTCACTCCTGCGCAGGCTGCTGGCACCCATCAGACCTTCGGAGGCCCCTCTCGCCAGATGTCTTGAGTTGCTTACAGAGCATTACTCCCCGCGACCGTCGGTGATTGTACAACGGTATCATTTCTACTGCCGCACACAAGACATCGGGGAAACCATGAAGGAGTTTGTCGCCGGCCTGCGCCAATTGGCCGATCGGTGCGAATTCGGGGCGGAGTTGGCGAACAACCTTCGGGACCGCATCGTGCACGGCATCAGGAATGACGTGATGCGGAGGAGGCTACTGGAAGAGCCTAACTTGACGTTGGATCGGGCGGTGGAGTTAATCACGAGCATGGAAGCCGCCGCGAGAGGTGCTGAACAGATCACCGGCCGAGCAAGCGGGACAGCCGAGACAGCGGTGAACCGCGTGACAGCACCGTCGACATCGGCGCAGTCAGCGGAAGAGCGACGCAGCTGTTTCCGTTGCGGCGGCAAGCACCGGGAATCAACGTGCAAGTTTGTAAATAGTGTTTGTTTCAAATGCCGGCAACGAGGTCATATATCAAGACTGTGCCAGAACAAGACAAGCCACGAAGGCAGAGTCAGCAGCAACGACAAACATCGCGAAGGAAAAACGAAGCAGACGGTGAACTCAACTCAGACACCATCAAACCGTTCGGTGCACGTCATGCAAGCTCAAGACAGTGAAGAGTCAGATTCGAGCGTCGTGGGGGACCTCTGGCCGTTAAACCCGAGCGAAAAAATAGCGCTACCAGGAAACGGCCGAAAAGAGGCACCAGAGTTCAAGGACCCGCCAATTTTTGCAGAAGTGACGATACAAGGAAAAACTGTACAAATGGAGCTGGACACCGGAGCTGTGTTTTCGGTTATGGATGAGACTGAGTTCAAAAGACGGTTTCCAGATACCGTCATCGAACCCTCAACCGTTAAACTGCGGGGCTACTTCGGTCAGCTGGCTGCCGTAGTCGGCAAGGCGACGGTCATGGCGGAGTTTGGCGGGAAAGCTGAGCTACTACCTTTGTTTGTTGTACGAGGTGGTTCCCGGGCTCTTCTGGGACGGAACTGGGCAAGGGCTTTCAACATGCCTCTAGATCAGCTCGTCAATGTGCATCAGGTGAGCAGCACTGAAGAGTTGGCAGGCAGATTTCACTCCGTGTTTTCTGAAGGATTAGGGACGCTGAAAGGAATGAAAGCAACTATCAGCGTACCGGAGGGAAGCAGACCCAGGTTTTTCCGACCGCGAACTGTACCTTTTGCGTTGCAAGACCTGGTAGCGCAAGAGTTGCAACGCCTACAGCGCGACGGGATTTTGACCCCCGTACGAACGTCAGAGTGGGCGGCGCCTATCGTACCTGTACTAAAGAAGGATGGTAGGATACGAATTTGTGGCGACTTTAAACTCACAGTCAACCAAGTGGCTATTACAGAAGTGTATCCGGTACCGAGACTGGAAGAGATGTGGGCGAAGCTTGCTGGGGGAACAACGTTCTCTAAGCTAGATCTCCGCGATGCATACCAGCAGATTGAACTGGAGCCGGCAGTTAAGAAGTTTGTCACAATTAACACGCAGAAAGGACTGTTTCAATACAACAGGCTGCCTTTCGGAGTAGCGTCGGCTCCCGCCATATTTCAAAGAGAGATGGAAAATCTTTTACGAGATTGTAACGGCACCATTGTCTATTTTGACGACATCTTGGTCACAGGGGCAACAGAAAATGACCACTGCCAGAATCTGGAGGCAGTCTTAAAAAAGTTAAGTGAGGCCGGGTTGAAACTCAAACTGGCAAAGTGTTCACTTTTCCAAAGAAGTGTGGAATATTTGGGACACATTATTGACGCTGAAGGAATTCACCCCGCACCCAAAAAAATCGAAGCGGTAGTCGAGGCGCCAGAACCCTCGAATGTCAAAGAACTACAGAGCTACCTTGGATTACTAAACTTTTACCGAAAGTTTATGCCAAACGTGTCATCGGTGTTGCATCCCCTCCATAAACTGCTGAAAAAAGGGGAGGCCTGGAGTTGGGGTGCTGAGGAACTAGCGGCGTTCAATACAAGCAAAGCGATGTTGACGTCTGCACCAGTGCTAGTGTATTATGACCAGACATGTACAAATTACTCAAAAAAGGTAGTCAAGTTAAGTTACTGAGCATCGACGCCAAAAGTAATTGGAGTAGAGTAGAAATTACGCATTTGTAATAGTAATTGAGTAAACTACTAACTACTGTAAAAAGTAGCGAGTTACTTTCAAGTTACTTTCGAAGTTACTTTTTTATATTTTTGTGGTGGCGAAATGAACACCAGTTTTGATCAATGAAAAACCCTGCGAGCCTAAAATAAAACAGTCTATAGCTTGCGTTTTCGCCAAAATAGTTTATTCGCTCGCAGAACTCTCAAAGTTCTTGATAAGAGAGTTTTCCCCTTTTCCTTTTAAAGACGCCCCCTGCCAAGCTAAATGGACGTTCCACCGTGGCACTGAATGGAACGGTAGCGTTGAATTTGACAAACGGGCTGTGCAGGGTCGGATAAGCGAGTGTCGGCATCTTAGGTGTCCATGACGAAACATGTGAGGTTCGCCTCGGGTAGAGGGTCTTTTATAACAAACTATGCTCCTTTTTTCTTTTTTCTTCGTCAAGTTGAGATTTTTATGACTGGCCCCTCCTAATTCCGACGTCGTTCTGAGAGTACGCTGAGCGAGTGCACCAGACCGTCAAGGGTTCAAGTCTCGCGCCACGACGATGAGATCATCCGGACGACTGCGCGTCCCGTTGTAGTGCTAGTGCTACGCTACTGAAAAAAGAAATGTTTTGGTCTAACAGAAGATGAACCGAAGTATACTTCGCCGCTGACGCCGGGTCCAACAAAAGGATCTCCCAAGGGTAACTCGCAATCCTCGCCGGCGACTACAATATTCTGACGCGTCTGACACGCCTGACAAGTAAATCGTTTTTTACAAAGAGGAGGTCTCCCTGGCGTGGATGGTCGGAAGGACACGAAGCATTACGTGAACAAGCGTCGTCGCTCGTATACAGTTCCAGCTGGAAGCGGGAACGTACTTCCATGAACGGATTATCCGTGCCAGGGTTTGTGCGCGGGGGAGTCCGGCTTTGCAAAGGCGTATGCGCTGACGACAAGGCGACCATAGGAACAGGCGCCCAGCTGCGAGGTCATTCCAGTGGCGCCTCCCGTGGAACCTACCGCTTGAGTCAGAACTCATTCAAGACAGACAACAACTCTCGGAGTGTCCCCGTCTTTCACGGTTGCAGCTGGAAACGCGGCGCCTGCATGCATTTCCGGATTAGGTCAATACCCGACCAAGGCTTGTTAAGCATCTCTTCCTGCATTCGTGCGTGGGGTGTTATGTTTTGGCTGCTCGTCGCCACCTTGACCCAAGGACGCCTTCCCGAACAAGCTAGGGGGCCCCATGTTAAGGAATGCCTCTTCATCTGCCGGCGTCTTATTCATTTCTGCGCTCAAACTTTCGTGATGGGCAAAATTAGCACTATATAATTTCGAAAGTAGTTAGTAATTTGAGTAGAAGTTACCTGAAAAAAGTAGTTAAATTAAACTACTAATTACCTAAATCAAATTGTAATTGAAAGTTACCAAGTTACTCAAGAAAGTAGTTAAACTACAGTAGTTTGAGTAGAGTAGTTGAACTACGTCCAAGTCTGATTATGACCCGAGCCAGCCGGTGGTACTATGCTGCGATGCGTCACCATATGGTGTTGGTGCGGTCTTGGCGCACAGAACAAGTTCCGGGGAAGAAAGGCCTATCGCTTTTGCATCCAGGCGTCTATCCGCAGCTGAAAAAAAACTACAGCCAACTAGATAAAGAGGCCCTGGCCGTAATATACGGAGTGACTAAATTCAACCAATTCCTGTGGGGTCGACAATTCGACATTTGCACAGACCACAAGCCATTGCTGGGTCTTCTAGGACATGATCGGGGAATCCCACAACAGTGCTCTCCTCGAGTGCTTCGATGGGCGTTAACGTTGAGCGCCTATTGCTATCGACTGGTATATCGACCAGGGGTCAATCTAGGAAATGCGGATGGGCTGTGTCGGCTGCCACTGCCTGGATCCTCGTTCAAGGACCACGCGGCTGGGGAAGTGTTCATGCTGGAAAAGGCGTTTCCGTCGTTGTTGTCGGCAGCAGCGGTAGCACAGGCTACAAATAAGGATCCCATAGTGTCGACAGTACGAGAGGCTTTGTGGTCTGGGAAGCGTCTGCCGGAATCTGCTGATTGGAGGACGTTCTCATGTCGACTAGAGGAATTTTCAGTGCAGGACGGCTGTGTATTGTGGGGTTGCCGAATAGTAGTGCCAACATCACTAAGGCCAGCGGTGTTGAGCGTGCTACACAAGACACATCCGGGTATTGAGAAAATGAAAATGGTCGCTCGGAGCCATGTCTGGTGGCCAGGCATAGACGAGGCTATTGAAAACAAAGTAAATGGTTGTACCATATGCCAAGTTCACCGGCGGGCACCGAGGTCGGTACAACAAACACCATGGCCATTCCCGGAAAATGCATGGTCACGTCTACATGTTGACTTTGGAGGGCCGTTTCAGGGCATCTATTTCTTGGTGCTAGTTGATGCGTTCTCCAAGTGGGTGGAAGTGCACCGGGTGCCCTCACCATCGGCTAAAGCCACAGTGGAGTGCTTGAGATCAATCTTTGCCACACACGGCCTACCTGATGTGGTCGTTAGTGATAACGGCCCGGCGTTCGTCAGTGTGGAATTCAAAGAATTCCTGGCAAGAAATGGAGTTCGTGCTATCACTATTCCACCGTATCACCCTGCCTCAAACGGCGCTGCAGAGAGGGTGGTACAAACGATAAAAGAAAAGCTAAAGAAAGCTAAACCAGGATGTTTCGAAGTCAAGATTCCCAGAATTCTTTTTAATTACAGAACGACGCCGCATCACCTGACTGGACGAACACCAGCAGAGTTGTTGATGGGGCGGCGCCTAAAGACTCCCCTGGACCTGCTGCACCCAGATCTCCGAGTCAGAGTAGGGTTCAAGCAGCTACAGCAGAAGGAGCGAGCGGACAAATCTGCAAAAGAGACGGATTACCACAGCCTGGTGATCGTGTCTGGGCTCGAAATTTCAGACCAGGAGATCGTTGGGTCCCTGCAATAGCTGAGCATCCCACCAGTGCATCGTCGGCACGTGTGATGCTGGAAGAGGGCGGCACCTGGAATCGCCACGGGGATCACCTGAGGCAGCGAGCACCAGTCCCACCACAAGACACCTTGGATGTGCAGCAGCCATTGGAGAGTGCACAAGACAACATGGATGTGCAGCCACCATTGGAGAGTGTAGTGAACATGCCTCTTGGACAACAAACTTTCATGCGGCCCGAAGACAGCGTAGCTAGGCAGACACCATTAGGCAGTGTGGTAAACCTACCTAGTGAGCGTGTGCGTGACATGGGTGGTTCTTGTGTGTCTAGAGCCGATATACAGACTCCGAGTGCGGTGCGGGGACGCTCAGGACAGGATGTTCAGGGCGAACCTGTGAGAAATGACACTTTGAGACGTTCAACTAGACAGCGCAGACCTCCGATACGGTACTCTCCTTGATTGACACTGTGAGTTGAGGGGGAGGAGTGTGACAGTTGTAACAAGGGAGCTGCAGGTGGCTGCGGCGGTAGCCGCACGTGAAGGGACTAGCTGGTGCAGAGCCAGAAGAAGAGAAGGACGACGGGGCTACGAGGGGCTTGGCAAGTGCTGCTGAAAAGTGCCAATGTCGTGTTTGCACTGACGGTGTAGCACAGTGTATATACACTATATTTTTAGTAGGTACTTTTAATTCAAATGTGACGGTGGTAAAAACTTCGACAGAGGTCAATTTAGACCAGCCATCATGGGCACTCTCCCAGCTGTTCACCCATAACTATGATGCTCACTGCAGTCTTCATGTTGGTCATGTGCACTGCAGGCAGCTTTAACCATTTCATACAACTGCCAAAGTGGGTATGAAACCAGTTGGTTCAGGCTATTGGGGGGGGGGGGGGGGGGGATCCTGAGTTTTAAGGGCAAAGACAAGGAAGACCTCTCAGTGATTGGCCTTATGCCTCGAGCAGCAAGTTAGCTAACTGGTACTCAGGCTCCAAGAAATGTAGGCGAATATTGAATTTATGTCAGTTATCGCTGCAGATTATGTCTTGCGCGTAAAAATTGCACTACTCTTCAGGTTTCTTTACTGTAACATTAACTTCACACTCAAAACTGCTTTGCGGATCAGCTTCCAGTGTGAACGGGCCACAAGCAACACACAATATCAATGTGGAACCAAAGAGTCAACCTGTATAAATTGGGCACGAACAAAACATTACTTTCATGCACGTCACAAACCCCTTTAATGTGTGGCAGCATCACTTCTGTCAACTCGATTCAGCTGGCACATTCTTTTGCATTGCTGTTCATAAATCTTGCATCTTTAGACAGAGCATTTGAATAATCGCCAAGCCCCAAACAAATCTAATACAAAATTGCTCGACTTGCCGAGTTTTTTTTTTTTTTTGTAAGAGATTATTTTAATCTAGAGCAGTACATCATGATCCCAGTGTGTCAAAGCTGTGATCGTGGACCACTAGTCATTACCTGCAACAATGGTTCTGTCACTTAAGTGACATGCGATTTCATTAGAGTGAGATGTAGTCTCCTGCAATATGAAAAACCCACAAGGAGTGCGTGGCCGAGACGGTGGTTGGCATCACTCAGCTAAAGCGCCATATGTACTTAGTTTCGGTTTCGCTGCAGAGAGCAGTTTGTGAGCGTCATGCTACGGCTATGTCCTACTAACGCGGCACGTCCTGTCTGACAGAGCAGCCTGAGCCAAGGCGATGGTTTGGACTCTGATAAAGCGCGATATTGATGCCATCCTTCTCACCAATGAATGTGCTCTTGAACAAATTTCATCTTTTAAATATAGGACTCGGGTATAACTTCTATATTTGTTTATTTTGCATTGCCTGTTCGAACATTTTACATCAGAAACAACTGATAAAAGCATTGATAACTCGTATGTTTCAAGCCTTCATGACCATATCTTTGGGCATGACATCGATGAAGCGCGCGCTTCCACTAAACCGAAAGCAAAAACTGTTAAGAGTGTCCGTGCTCGGCTGAGCACCGAGTACCTTCCTCTCGAACCAGAATGGAATCACCTGAAGCGTGCGCAGCGACCCTGATAGCCACCGTCTCAACCATGCGCTCCTAGTAAGTCTTTCAAATTGCAAAAGACTGTACAAGCCATTGATAGCTTTTCTCGATGCATACAAGAATTGCCGAATGCATGTGTCCCCTGTCAACAGAGGAGTTAGTTCCTACTCACCACAATCAGCAGCCGGCTGCCCACCTCCTGAAGGAGCTGGCTGGCTGACCGGCTGCAGCGGCACCTCTGGAGGCGCCTCCAGGCTCTCCTCTTGGTAGAGAAGCTCTGCTGGCAGTGGAGGCTGCAAAGCAGATTCCCTGTAATCACTGCTACCCCTCTACTGCATTGCAACAAAACGTGTAGTTCCTTTTCAACATAAAACATTTGTTTTTTCTTGCTGGGTGGCCAAAATGTTTCAATATGCACGCGCGTTTTCCCATAGGAATGCACAGGAGCACCGCAAAAGTAGACTGGTTGCTGTCTGCTTCAATTTGCCTCCCGGAAGTCGCATAGACACTAGTGCCAGTTGAACCTCTAGCGTAGATTATAATAACTCTATGGCTCCAACACGTGATACACTGCTGCCTCACCAGTGTGCCTCACATCGGCCAAGTGGTCAGGTGCCCTGAAAATAATTAATGCAATAACCGTACAACACAAATAAATAGACAAAACTGCAGAAATTTAGAAATCTACTTATTTTTGCTGATTTTTCAAGCTGAAATCTACTACTATTTTCTGTGGAACTGTGGCAACACTGCTCTCACCGCGAAGCGGCGTGAACGCAGGCCAGGGAGTGGGTTAACGAGCTCTCCAGTGATACACGCGCCGTCCGACTTTCTTTCGGACGGCACTTGTAGGCGCGAGTGGAGTGCCGTCGGACGGCACTGTAGACACAGCCTTACATAAAAAGTGGGTTTCTCACCGAGGTCTCGGACGACGACGGGAGGGACTGCCTGGGACGCAAGCCACCGCAGCCCCTCGATGAGTCCCTCCCGACGATGGCCAGGATCCGGGTCTCAACCTCGTTGAGGGGACCCACCGGGTTGGCCCCACCGCCCGTCCGCGCCGCCTCCACCGCCAGCAGGCCGTCGTGCTTCCGAGCGGCACACACTCGGGCATTCCACAAGTTCTTCCATTCAACCCTCTCCTTCCAGGCTGGTCCTTCCGCGTTGAGGCGGCCCGTAATAACGTCCCAGAGGGCCGTCCTCTCCGCCGTGGTCAGCGTGGACTCGGTTGCTGCCCGGACCAACACTCGATTTGAAAACATGTAATCAATGAGCATGTCGAGCTTTCGGTCCGAGCAGCGAGCCCCTTGCTTCTTTCTTTTCGCCGCGGGAGTCGAGGCGCAGCCGCTTTTGTCAGCCATTGTCAGAGAAAAACAACGGAGCAGGAACGGTGCGAACCTCGAATGCCGTTTTAGAGTTACATATAAACGCGAACTATTTATAATAAAATAACGGATGTCATTTATGTATTTCGAATACGGATATCTCTGAATTTAATATGTATATTTGTTCTGCTTTTTTCCCGAAAAAATAGCACCGCAGTCGACGAAGCGCGTGCTCCCCAGATTTCCCTCTCGGGACTTCCTCGCTCCTAAAAATCTGTGAAGTTTCAAGTTAACAAGTGCCGCGAACCGTGACGTCGTTGTGAAGATGCCGCCCGATGAAGTTGGGTGCTTGTGAAGTTATGGCTCCTCCCCCATGGCCACGTCACGATGAACTTAGTTTATAGGTTTCACCAGCATAGACAGACAGGTGATAAAAGGCAGGCAAGTGATTATTCCGGCGAACACGTAGCTCGCATCGGGATGCGGAGCGCGACTCGTAAAACGCGTTCTAGTAGACCGTTTTGGGCACCGGCTCCGAGTGTTGTGTAACCGCAGGACAGCGTGAAACACGTGTGCTCAAGTTTATGCGTCCGGATCTACCATCTGATACAGTGTCGACTAGGACGTTTCTTTTAACCGTAACTTCCTACAAAAAAAAAAAAAAAAAAAAAGCCGTGTTTTTTTTGTTTTTGTTTTGCGCCCCGAATGAAAGCTGACCGCGTTCTGGCGATGATTCAAGCGACCAGCTGTGTCCCCCGGCTCCCCGGACCCTTTTTCCTCCAGTTCCGTGTCATTTTTCTTTTATAGACGTGATGGCGGTAGGTTTGCAGCCGGAGCAATATTTGTTCGATGCAGGACGGTCCATTCGTCGCATGACGATTCATCACAGGCCGACTGGTAACACGCCCGCTCCTTACAGCGGAACATGCGTTAAGGAGAATTCGTCACAAGGGTAACCACAATAGTTCGTCCTCTAGAAAATGCTTTTTTTTGGTTTGTTTTATGAGGGGGGGTAGGGGGGTGGGGGGGGGGGGGAGGGGTCAACCTGGCAAAGCCCCTACAAGGTCAGCATTGCTAATCGATCGATGGTGAACAAGCTGAAAGAAACGTAGCTCCGGGTTCAGTTCTGATCGAGGAATGCTGCGGTTACCTGGGCACGATTATTTTCGAACCCGTACTTCATTCTGAAAGATGGAGGTAATCGCAACGGTGAGAAGGAACAATGCACTGTGTTTTCGGAGTTGTCTCAAAAGATCGCAACCGAAAGCAGAAATAACATCTCATACAGCCAGTCTTGTACGCGTTACTGAAAAAAAAAACAAAAAAAAAACACCGATTACAATTACAATCACTTTATTGAAAAATGTGACTGATTACGAAGATTCGCCCTCTTAGGGACGTGCCTCCGTCGCCGCACCCGATGATTAGATGTTTCAAGAAATGTCAAGTTTGTGTTTTCTGCTTTTTTAGGTCTCGTACCTTCAGAAGCTACATAAAAAAAAAATGAAAGAAATAGTGGGAAACAAAAAGTTTTTTTTTCTTATTAGTTCCGCTACTCCGTTGAAAAACGAAGTCTAATAAATTAAAATTAGTATTATAACACTGCTGTCCTCGCCTATACACCTTTCCAAAAAACACTCGACCCCTGGGGCAACAGACCGTTTTCGAACCCAGTCA